AGAACTTTTTGACATCTTCTGCTTGATCTAGTGCTCATGATGGAAACGACGTAGCTTCATTCGAGTTGTCCATTTATGCGTAAACATCACATGCTTTGCGCTTTCGCTTAATGATTTGCATTGCTTCGAGCAAGCGGAAGCTTGAATCAGACATCCAATGCCAGCTAACAGGTCCTCAATTATGACGTGTAACGTCAGAGGGTTTCGTACGCGATTGAGCACCTGATCAATGCAAGAAGGCAGACCTAATCCACGTAGCTTTTGCGTCGAAAAGCTATGTTGGACACAATCGTGGTGATTACCACTGCCAGCCTGTCAGCGAATCGATTTGGGAGGCCGAAATCATAACTGTCCTTTCGTCGAGCATAAACGCCGTCTTCATCGGTTTGTAGGATGAAACCTTATCATCTTTTGATATCTCCCGTGTCCGTCTTACCTCTTTCTCATCTTTTCTCCGCTTTCCCAAGGAACTGTCATCTTTGGTATGTAGGGCATGCGGATCGATCAAACATTTTATGATTCCTTTCCGGGAATTAATAAGGACGACGGCTCCTAATCCTTCCTCTCGGCTATATGGTGAGTTTCGTGTCTTCCTATATATAACTCTATTAAAGTTTATCCCTTGACGTTAAAAATCGTTCCACCACCGACCCTCTTAGGATTTGCGATATGGTTTACTGAATTACGTAGTGCTTCAGGGATGTACGTTGTATCGTAAAATGTTCTATTCTCCTCTTTGACCATCTCCGCTACCAGAGCATCATGTTAAATTGAGGACAATTGAATATATCGAGTCCAGTAACAGCGGCTTACTCGACGCTATCGCTGAATGTTCCAATTTAAAACTGGTTGGGCTGTCGCCTGGAGGTCAGAAACGAACTTACTGGGGGACACAAAGGCTCAGGAGTCTATCATCGCGAAGAAGGCGGCATTCAAGCAATGGAATAAAAGCAAGCAGCCTTCAACCTGAATGTAGTACAAAGAAGTGCGCAAGGCGGCAGCGAAAGCAGTTGCGAAAACCAAAGCTAATTTCTTGGAGAAGTTCAGTGAGGTGTTGTGTCAAATTTCCGACGGCAAACAAAGTATTCTGGCAGACCATCCGCCGGCTACGCGTTGAAAAAAACGGGCACTCTCAGAGTCTTGAAGGACAGATCTGGACACCCTGTTACCAAGGATGATGACATTCTTCGACGATGGCGGGAGTACTTTGAGGGTAACTCCTTAACCCCGCGCAACAGAAGGAAGATTCGCCTTTAGAGCAGAAGGGTACGGATATTACTCTCTCTGTTGATGAAATGACACAAACTGTAAAAAGCTTGAAAAATGGAAAGGCTGGTCGAATTAAAGAAATCCATTCTTAACTGCTCAAAGCAACATGCAAATAAAGCATGTTGTGACTAACTCACGTCTGTGAAACTGCCGGGCTGCGGGAAAAACAGTTGCACAAGAGAACTGTTGTTGTAGTAACCCTTTGCAAAGCAGGGGCAATGGAGTGTGATTCGATTATTGAGATATTAGCATGTTGCGTTTCCAGTGAAAAGTTTCCGCAAAGGTGTCAAAAAAGGTTTTGCAGAGTAACTGATCCCTCGTTACAGAAGGGGCGGTGTGGTTTCAGGTCAGACTGAAGCGTCTCTGATCAAACCTTAGCCTTACGCCTGATTGTTGAGAAATCTTGGAAATTCGCTCATCCGGCTTAAACATGCTTTGTTAACCTGTGTGAGGGTTATGGCAGGATCCGGTACAATCAGCTA